CATAGTACCTATAGCGCACGAACCAAACTGCAACGTTAGTTATCTTCCATGCCGTTTTATAAATTTTGTTCAATTTTTTATATCGTGGGCATAGTAAGTAGCTATTTAGAGAATTGCAAGAGAAACCTACCGTTGAAAATCTAAGAATGTTTTCTACCTAATTTTGCACCCTTTTCACTCTCAACTGCGATATCCAGGGTTGTTTATCTATTAAAATAATTTTAATATATTTTAATGAAATATGTTGTATGTATATGCATGCTCTCTCTATATCTCTTTCTCTCTATATAAGTGACCGATATCTATAATATGTATAAATATCGTATGCATATATTATATATATCAGTATCCAGAATTAAGTTTACAAGCACAAAACATGTGATACTTAAAAAAATAATTGGTTTATTGTAATGAAATTTTATAAACAGATATCATTACAACGAGACAGCCAATTGCAACGTAAAATAAACAAGAATAACTATTCTGCAATATGCAAGTGAAATAAAGAACGCCAAAACATAACACCTTGTATTTCCAAAATGGTTCGTCTAATAAGCAGCTCGGCCATCCAGCACAGTTTTAGAAACCTCACAAGGGACCCTGATACTGTAAACAAGGCTATTAATCATAAAAGTTTGTAGGAACAAATCCTAGTTCTCTAAAAGTGAGGATTTTAACTTATGTTAAACAAGTTAACAAGTTATCGTTATCGTGTCTTAGTGTGAGTTAACAAGTTATCGTTCACAGAAATAACATCCTCTCCAACAGCTTCCTGAACAAGCCTCACATATGATTCATGAACTGCATCCCTATAAAGCTCTTCGGTCACAATCACCGAAGACACAATGGTATCAGATCATCCAGCATGGTTCTGCCCGGCACAAGGAATCGACTTTTCTTGACTCATCACTGAAAATGGCATTGCCAAAATCCAGAAGCGGTGTGCCTGGCTTTGCGAGAAACGAATTCTCTTCTCCGAACTACTGAAGACGTTACATGCCGCTGATTGCCGAATGTAAATGGTTTACTAAGTGTCTTTACACAGTTTGCCTGGAAATTGTTTTTCCAGACGCAGATGCGAGGTTGTTAGAGAACTATTTGGGCATCATATCTCTTTTGCTTCCTTGTGATGGTAACCGCAGTCTGAATTTGGTGCTATTACATGGATACTACAACTCGAGACAATCGTAACCATAGAGCGGTCTTCCACTTGAGACTCGTTTGCGTCAAGCTTGTAAGTTCTACATCTGAATCTATCATCTAAATGATTTCGAGGGCTCATCTTGACCAAAATCAGTTAGTACTGCAATTTTTCTTTTAAGAAACTCATTCTATTGAAGAATTTCACAGACATAGAGACTGGTCATAACGTTTTCATTAAAAAAATATCCTTTTAACAACAACCAGGTTCTCATGTTGTATTTGTCATTCCCCAAATTTTGAGTGACAACAAATTTTAAAACAGTAGTGGTAGCTATTTTTATTATATTTTAAATTATTGCAAAAATGTATTTGTAACTTTAATTTTAGACGCCAGATTAGACGTGCCTGTCATATGCGTAAAAGCTGAAAGTGACCTGTTGCGTACACATACAAAACACACGCATACAGATGATCCGAAAGTACTATTTGTAACAACGTAAGATCACACCAAGGTTTTTCCAGTTAATGCTTTATTTTTTCTCGTATTTTGCTTAAATTTCCCACGAAGCTTTGCTAATTATCGAGATACCGGAAAGGTTAGTACGGATACAGTAACGCGACTATATATATCTGATAATCTGAAAATTATTTGCCAAAAAAGAAAAAAAAAAATACTATTTTATTTTACTACAACTAAAGTAAATTTGTTGATGAAATAAAAATCACATGTAAAAGTACAATGAAAGAATTAAGATCCATTATTAAAAATTCTAATATTAGAAACTAAAAAAAGACTTTGAACTTTTTTCCATAAAATGTTATTTTTAAAAAAAGATTTAAGCCTTCATAATTTTTTCGATTGTACAGTTATTACGTTTCTTTCTGCTAAAACTTATTAGTAATTTTACCTTCGATTCATTTGCAGATTTCCTCTGGGGACAGTCAACAGGGTTAAATAAAAAAAATAAATAAATAAATAAAATAAAATAAAATAAAATAAAATAAATAAAAAAAATAAAAAAAAAACTGAACATTTTTTTTTAGTACTCAGTTGTATAGATATTATTATCTTATTTGCAGACTGTCGTAAATTAAGTTTAAATCATAACGTCACAATCTACGTTATGATCACATATAGTATGCATTTTACATTTCCTTTTCATAGCTGTTTATGATGCACAAAAGATTTAAAATCAAACATCGAGATTCGAATTTGAAATGCAATATTTTTTTTTAAATATGAAAGGAGAATAACGCAGCAGCATAGAAAGCCATTAAACTGCACTCAATTATTATTAGTTGACAAATAGACTAATTAAAATTTAACTCAATCAGTGGATATCAGATAAACTGGAGCAAAACGTAGATTCATGATTTCATTCACAATTTATTTTTAAGTACGTTATAGAATAAAGAATTGTTTTCGGTTAGTTTTTTTATCAAAAATTAATTAAAACAACCTAACAATAAGATTTCAAAGCTTTAATTAGCTTATTATTAATTAACGGAGATTACTGATTAATTGATATGCTTTCAAAAACTAAATAAATTTTATAAAACGGTAATCATATGGTGACCAAGAGAAACAAATCAATTTTCGGCTTTATTTGGCATATATTTCATTACATTATGGTATTTTAAAAATTTAATTTAAGTGAATTTTAATACCCTGGGGAATCATTAAATCATTAAAAGGATGATGGAATTTCAGGAAATCGAGATCGTGGGAAAGAAATCCTGATCACAGCCAGATCGTACCATAATCAATCAAACACCATTTTATGGAGTGTAAAAACTCCTATAGTTTAAATTGAAAGGCTTTTACTGACTCGGAATTACTTTGAAGCTCAAAGGTTCCCAATTGAAGCCTTCTGTATTTTTCTCTTTTGTTTTCTCTTTAAGTTTACCAATAACCTTTCGAACATTTCTCTATACATGTGCACTATGCACTAACCTGCACAGATTAAGAATTTTGCATAATGAATTTCCGGATATTTTAGCTCGAGATTAGAGAAGGAAGGAAGATGATTTCCATGCAGTTTCCATGGTATTAGAGTCATTCATAGACGTCTTCTCACATAGGCTTAATATTACGTTAATAATATTCAATACCAAAGGCGATTTTTTTATTTAATTTTTTAAGAATCGGACTTGCATTTTAAAACAAATTTGATCTGCCCGAGAAAAGACAAATGCCAAAAGAAAATTATTTGCTTAGCTCAAAACCTTCGACCATGGAGTTTGTTACAGCCTCCATTGAAAGAAAGAAACAGAAAGAAATTAAGTTTCAAATTTAGATTGATACATAAAAAATGTGTGGAAAATAATTTAGTATTTACCTTGAAATGTATTAAGGCCAGGGGCTCCTAAATAAAAAGAGTTAAGATAATTTTAAAAATTAGACTTATAAGGTATTTCTCCCACTTTCCTAGCGTGCCTTCGTGGTGTAGTCGTTCTGTATGCTGAGCTGGTATTCCAGAGGTCCGTGGTTTGATTCCCGGCGAAGGCGGTTGCTAATTTTTCATCTCTCCGGCTTTTCCAAAGAAAAGAAAAAGTACCTAATGCCTCTACAGTGGCTCCCGAACTAAAAGGGTGTTGGATGAGGTTTCTCCCCCAGGATTTAGCGATAGGGTCCCCTAAAAACACCAGTCGACCTTTAAAAAGGGCAGTATATAAAGTATTTCTCCCACTTTCCTAGCGTGCCTTCGTGGTGTAGTGTTTCTGCACGCTGGGTCGGTATTCCAGAGGTCCGTGGTTCGATTCCCGGCGAAGGCGTTGTTGATTTTTCATCTCTCCGGCTTTTCAAGAAAAAAAAAAAAAAAAAAAAAAAAAAAACCTAATGTCTCTACAGACTAATTTGAAGCATTAATTAAAAGAAAGTACAAGGAAAAGATTTATCTACGTGAGTTACATCTCAGTTTTCGCCATCGATACCACAGAATATGGAATCTAAGCGTTTGGTACCCTAGCATCAGCCTCTCAGGAGAATATTCACATGAACATATTTTAAGTGCCCTCTTCTGCAAAAGCACTGTAGTCGCACTTTGTGACTTATAGATATGAATACCCTATCTACAGCGTAATGGATTAAATCGCTTAGCCCACATTCAAATCCTATAGCGAAAAGCTGCTGTATGGGTTTTTGTGCAGTGTGTAAAGCAAATATTCTGTAGCCTATCCCACCAGTGTAGTTTGCTTTAATTAATTAACCAACTCTAATGTGCATATATTGTTCGTAATTTGAATCGGAACTCACTGGCGAGACAATAAGTTAACCTCCGCCTATATGTAATTTACATTCATTATACATTTTCTTTTTCTTTTAGTGAATTTACTTTTGGAAGCACAAAATTATTACGCAAAGATATCGCATATATGCGCAAAAGATATCGCATATAATATTCACATATTTTAAATTTGTTTCTAACGATTTACTGCTGTATATAATAAAATAGAGTGTTCACAGTATATTCCTTTTTACCTAATTAAGCATGACTGTTGAAAAATAAACAAATACAGAATTAAATAAATAAAGAAAGAATAAAGAAATAACATAGGCTTAACAATAAACGCATATAATAAAGAAAGAAAAACATGCAGAAATAATATACAGAATAAAGAAATAACATACAAGAAAAGAAATAGCGTGGGCACTTTACAAATGAGGCGTAAGTATAGCGAAAATTTGAGAATTAAAAAAATTCCTATATGATCATAAGGCAGATAAATTACCATAGTTTCCTATTATTTGATCGAGATGAATGTGCTTCCCCTCAGAAAACAAAGTATTATCCATTATAGCCTATTTTGATTTATTTATTTATTTTATTTTATTATTTATATTTTTTTTTATTCAGATTTCCGCTGATGTCTTGCTTTTGGTCCACTGGTGCTGCACCGCAGTTTCTTCAGTAATACTTGCTGTTGAAGTTCATTAGGTTTTGTTTATTTTAGTCATGCTCTAGAGCTTGAAATGGTAAACATGGTAATTTTTTTCTTAATTTTGCTTGTGTTACTTCTTGTTTTCCAACTGATATATTTCATCTTAAATGAAAGTTTTTGGTTGCTCTCAGTGATGAAGGATCACCACATTGAATATTATCAACGTTTGCTTTTTCTAGCAATTATACCTACATTTGCTATCATTAAACAGCAAAAGCTTTATACGCACTTTACAAAAAAAAAAAAAAAAAAAAAAAAAAAAATGTTTATTAAAACTTACACATGCGCATATTTGTATATGCTTACGTAGATCTAGCAAAGAATTAATACCAATTAAGCAGCATGGTAACTTGAAGAAATTTAATTTCTTATTGTGTTGGGTTACAACACTGAAGCATCTTAAGAATCTCAAATGTTTTTACACAAAATACATACCGGTTACATAATTGAGACGCAGAGGTAAGAGCTGCTTTAATATCTAATTAATTTTTTTACGATTACAGGGTTTTCTACAGTAATGAATTTCAAGTCAGCGGTTCTTGATTGCACCCAAATTGTAACGGCGTATTTCGCCACAAAATTTGTCTTTCCCATCCCCTGATGATGAGTAGTGATGCCGCTTCTTTCTTTCTACTCTGCCACTTAGGATGTTAATAACAGGTTCAAGAAAATTTGAAAGGCCGCCAAACATCATGCAAGCTGAATATTCACGATACGCCAAGTGACGGGTTTGCTTTTCGTGTTAAGGTCAGTTTAGACTTCTTTCTCCCCTCCCTCCTTTAATCAGAGAACCGATCGCGAAACATGCATTCAGAGCTAGCTCTTACTTTTCGTCTTTTATTTTCATTGCAGTCCGAGTGATAAATTACCTTCTTGAATTAAATTCTAAAATTATAGTAGTGAAAAAACATGATTGATTTTTGTTCCTTTCTTTCTGAAAGCCAGCAGGCAAATATATTTTCTGTGTTTGTAACATAGATTCTTGCATTTAAATTCTTGGAATTTAATGGGAACCAGAGGCATTTTGTAAGTTTTAAAGCATAAACTCATATCCAGCAGAACTTCGATAGCTCAAAATTACGATAAACAATGACTCTCTTTGAATGATTTATTTTATGAATGGCACGCCAAGTAAAACTGAATATTCCATTTACTTGCACTTGAGATTAAATTATAATTATCATTTTTATTTACATACGTATTTGCCTTTCTTTTTCAATAAACCAAAGTGCTATCCCAAACCAGAAAAATCAAGTTTCAGATCTCGTTTATAGCTTTTTTAAATGTGAAGAAACTTGTGCTTCCATCTTTTTTTGCTCATTAAGTCTTCTTTACAAGCAACAGCATTTTTATTCTTGTGAGTTTTAAAAATTCACTTTTACTTTGTGAGTATCTGAAAGTATATAATTTCAGAAAACTGAAATTTGTTCTAGATGAGAAATCTTAATTTTTATTTGTGGCGAAGCTACTTATAATAATTGAAATTCTTCGCTTTTATTTTACGTTTTAAAATATTTATCGTTATTTTCTTTTAAAAACAAAATGTTATAACTTTAAAATATTATTTTTTTAAACTACTTACATTAATGCTTTTCCATAATATTTCTTCTCTTGAGAGATATTTCTCTCTTTAAGAAAAAGAAATATTATCAAATGCAAAGAAAATATTAAGTTTAACTGTCACTTCCAGACGGACATATGCTGTCTGATTCGTCATCAAAACTATAGGATTGTGGTTCACCATCCATTTATATTGCATTTTTAAATAAAAATTTTAATTTTTTTCTTCGAAGCATGGTTTTACAACTGAAAGATTGAATTTTTTTACTTTAATTATCTTTTAATATTTTTCAAACATTGAAAATAATTTTCATTATTAATATTAATGATCGCAAAAGTTTCTAATTTGATTTGTTAAAATATATATATATATTATATATATATATATATTGTTAAAAATCTATTTAAATATTTGCGTTTATATGAATGTATTTTGGTTTTTATGTCCTTTTAAAATGTTGTGCATTAGTTTTTGTTGGTTTAGTGCATTTTATATGGTATTTTCTTTTGATGTATTGTGTATTTTATCGTGTATTTCCTTATCATGAATTGATAATAGTTTATTTTGTTTTTGCATATTTAACACACATAAGTTTTTGTACGGAATTTCAATGAGTCATTTGACGTTAAATTGCAAAGATACTCAATTAAAATCAGAGATACAGTCAAAAATCCTTCACAGCCTTCGGCAACATTTGATGATGTCTTTCCAACTTGAGGATTTTGGAGACGTTTTCAGAAAATGTACTTCGAATAGGGTGTTATTGAATATTTCTCATTGTGTATTAAAAAGGTGAGAAAATTAACATTATAAAATACTCGGAAAACAATATTTTTTGGAATATGAAATACAAGTAATTTGCAATAATACAATTAATACTGGCGAATGCAATATTTAAATAAACTCTCACCAAGAGCTATTACGCGGATACTAAATGCTTTTAAACGAAGGAAAAGAATGGATATACGATCGTGAGCGTCGCATCTTGTCATAGTTCCTTGACAATTTACGAGAATTCTGTCATTTAAGTGCTTGTCTCTTGAGTGCTATTTAATATCATTATATATTCAAAGCAGACATCCTATTGTCAGACTGAGACTGGCAGCTTATGCATTAAGTCTTGTTGCTTGAAAATTATATAACTTAATATGGGTTTTCCGTACTATGGAAATGGGAGTAGTCTCCATTAAGATTCACAAAAGAGTAGTATTTACATAATGAATACAGGAAGCAAAATATTTAAACTGTGGCTCATTTTTTAATGAATATAATGTTATTATATAACCTCGGAATAATTAAACTAGAAGAGAACATGATTTACTACCATGGGCCATTTCTTAGGGGAGTATGTATCAAACTGAAAATTTTATAGCGCGTCTTTTTTTTTTTTTTTTTTTTTTTTTTTTTTTTTACTACAAAGTATTTAAATTACTTTAAATTAACCGAGTTAATCAATTAAAGAAAAAAAAAAAACATTTTAGGAATAACACCTGTGAGTTGAAATTATTGAATATTTGGTGTCAGCAGAAAACATCAAGGACGAAAACGTCGCGGAAAAATCAATGCAAGACGAAAACATCGTAGTACAAAACATGGGAGAAAAGAAAGCAAGGAGAAAACATTGCAGTTCTGAAACATCTTGGCACAAAACGCTGTCTAAAAAATACAGCAGTTAAAAACATTTGAAAGACATCGTCCTCAAAAATTTGATGGCAAAATAAAAAAAAAGTAAATACATTTTTTTAAAAAAATCTGAAAGCTTTCAGATTTTATATTACGCCCAAAAGGACGTTTTTTAACGTTTTGCGTGTTATCTTTATTTATTAAATATCATGTTCTTCACTCTTAAACCACACAAAATACAACTCAACAGCTCAGATCAGATCAGATGTATGATTATGACAAAGCCTCGAGGGGTATCTGCTAAGAGGAGGGATGCCTTCGTGGTGGACTTTCTCAGGGAAATTGGCTCGTATACACGTTGCACATGGGGAAAACCACGAAAACGCCCATGCAGCCAGGCCGTTCGCGGGATACGAACCTCGGACCGAACTACCAGTGTTCAGCGACTTTACCGCTCGGCCGCTGGTAGGCCCAATTCAACAGCAATATAACAAAAAAATTTTAAAAGAGCATATCTTTAGAATTTCCGTTACACAGACTCGCGCGCTGGAGATTTTTTTTTTTTTTTTTTTTTTTTTTTCTATAGTGTTGCCATTGCTCGTTTTGAAATCGTTGAATTTGTTAATAAAAAATTCGTTCAAGTTTTACGAAATTTTAAATAGATAATAAAACAAATTCGAAATTCAAAATTCGGGCTTTCAAGTCCCATGTTCGGTTGGAGAACTATGTTATTCAAAATTTGACGGCTCTAGGTACCTTGTTTTTACACAATGCGAGAAACATTCGTGCATTCATGCAGATTCCTTATTATTTAGTTTCTTTAAATATAATACACGGCCATAATATTTGGTGGCAACAGTTTGAAAAGTGAATCGACACAAAATGCCGTTTTGAAATTAATAGCCCTTCTGAGCTAACGCCCTTTGGGCTAAAATTGAAAAATAATAAATAAATAAATAAATAAAAATAAAAATAAATAATAAAACTAAAAAATAAAAATTAAAAATTAATAAAATAAAGCACCTACAAATCATTGCAGGAACATACAGGCATGCGTTTTTAGGTTTTAAAAATTTGCATAATGATTTGTGAGCACAAGAAAGAATGAGGAACATTTTTAATTTTAGACCTAATATTTTTGAGTTAACTAATAAATTTTTGCTGAAAAAAAAGGAAATTTAAACATTCAAAAGCTGAAAATGAGACGAAAAATAATGCTAGGTATAACAGTTAATATAATTTTAAGTTATATTTAAATAATAAAGGTCGCTAATCAATTAATCTCTTTTATAAAGTTTATTAGTAATTTTTCATTAAAAATATAGTCTAAAAAAGATTTGTTAAGTGATTTATTTTTTATCACGATATTTTCTACGACGATATTTTTTAAACTGCAAAGTTTTTTAACCGTTTATTTTCTACGACGATGTTTTCTTGTTTTCTTTTCTCCCACGATATTTTTGCACGGGGACGTTTACGCCTTGCATTGTTTTCTCCGCGACGTTTACGACCGTTGATGCTTTTGCCGGGATGCTTTCGCTTGTAAACCGAATATTTTGAATTACAGTTTTGGCTAGCATGTTATCGATTATATTAGAGCTTTTATGTAATATTGCGAACACATAGTTACTCCTTTTAATCAGATCCGTGTTTAGGTATTTTTTCACCAAAGGTAAAGACTTAAAGACAAAGACGCGCCCCTTAATCAAATTAACTGTACTTATACAATGTGCGTTTGTACAATCAACTTTGTACTGTATCTGTACGATTTTATATTGAAGACCTGGTTAAAGTAACATTTAGCCTAGGTAACTTAAACCTTTAACCTTTAGCCTTTAACCTAGATAACT